GCTCGTAGGGTACGCATAGTGAACGAATTTAAATAGCGTCGCCCGTCCATTTGGCAATTGGGTTTATCTCACTGGTGTTCAACCAGTACTTCAGGAGGCAGAGAAAGCTGATTTACTGATCTGGTCTTAAAATGAATTTCGCTTTACCTGACAAAAGAAGTGGTGGTGGTGGTGCAGTGGTTCAGTCGCTGTCAGGCGTGATTGGCACCCTATGGTCCTAGGTTCGAGCCCCGCCACCCCACTTTGGTGGTGGGCAGCTTTGCCGTAGTCCGGCTCAATAACACACGCCTGACCTATCGAGGCCTTATTTGGTTCGCCACTCCGAGTCCCGGGGCTCAGGTCACCGGTTTCCATCACTGAACAGCGGGTCCTCGTGACTATGGGGTTCGCCCCGTCTGCTGTTCATCACACGAAAGTGATATAAAAAAATATCCATCCCGCCTGAATTGGAAGTGAAGTAAATACTGAGCGCCTTGCTGTTGGTTTCTTGCACATACAGCCCTAAATATCGCAAACTTTCTTGTAATGACAAGCGAAGTTTTTGATCACTGTCATTCCCAAAATGCATTCTCGGGAGTCAAAGTTTTCACAGTTAAAGGTTAGTACATCTTCTCACTTGAGGTTGGTAGCAGAAAACGTTTCGATCTTATTAAATATTATTTTTTTCACATTTATGCAGTTTCCGGAGGGCTCAATTAGAGGGTCGAGTTCAGTTAGTTACCGCCAGCAGTTGGAATTTGAATACAATAGAAAACCTCTCCCTGTGTTAGAAACAGATATAAGCTCACTCCCTCTAGAGTGGTCGTCAGTGGTTAGGGTGCGGCATGTATTAGAGGAAACTGGCAAATTCTGTTGGATAATCTAATTGGTGGACTCCATGCTAAAGCGACTGTCTCCAGTGTGCAAAGTTGAAGGTGGGCAATTAGAATATGGACCAGAAGAAAGTACAAAACCTGTATGAAGTCATGTATGAGTCATTTGATAGATAAATTCTAGGTATTTTTTCCTGTGGTTCTGTTATTTTATAACTGAGGCACAAGCAATAATCGTCAAAATCGAGGAATCGTACATTTCATTAGCACTCAACTAACAGGGGTAAACAATATATACATATATATATATATATATATATATATATATATGTGTGTGTGTGTATGTGACAAAGAGAATCACCGTGCAACATTGCCATGAGAGAGTATTCTGGTATCCTGAAAGTAAGAGATGGTGTTCGTTGTTTCAAATCCCGATGCTACGTCCAGAAACCAGCAAGTGAATCAATCGTTTAGCTGTAGACAGCTTAGTCTAGAATGAGAGATTACAATCTGGGAGAGAACGGCCAAACTATTCGGATTACGATCGGGCGGGCGAACTTACTCATCTCGATCAACATTCGACCATATCCACAACACTGGTATTGCGGTAGGGTGAGAATACACGAGAGGTTGTTGTAGATGACCGCGGTTGAGCCGGTCTCATGTGGATCACAGGGTTTTTGCTGTGTGAGACAGAGAGGCAATCAGAAGGACAGAATAAAGCAGTACCGGGGAATTTGTATCAAACGTGTTAAACGGGCAAGCAAAATACAGAAAGTATAGAAATGTGAAAATAAATTGGTAATCCAGAAGTAGGCAGCTTTACTGTCGTTCGGTTTAGTACCATGCCTGACTTAGTTGGGACCTTATATGGTTCACCACTTCAGATCCCGGGGCTTAGGCTGCCTCTTTTCATTACAAGTCTTCGTAATTATGGGCTCCACCCCGTTTACTGTGTACCACACAAAGATGTGTACAATAAAAAGCACGCCTAAGTTAAAACGGGAGGTGAGTAGATTCGTAGAAGAAAGGAGTAAGAATATCATTCATTAGGGGATGTATAGAAAAATTTAAAAGCGATTTTCTATTCAACTCCAGGCACAACGTTAATCCACAATGAAACAGCGTGAATTCGATTTAAAAAACGATGAATTACATAATACTGCCGATAAACTTCCCGTTTAACCCAATCCCGTTCAGCGCGCGCCTAACCACTACTGACTGCTACTAATTTTCGGAACGACAAACAGCCCTGAAGCTAAATAATAGGATTTTAATTCACATTTTAGTTTACAATTGTATACCTGTGAGTAGTGATTCTGAGTTATTAAGGTGTAAAAGTGATATCATAACACACACACTATTCAGTTTATCCCGGTAGCCATATGATAAAAAAACACTGAATACAGGTGACTGTCACAAGCGAGTGTTAGCACCGCGCCAGTCAGCTCGAACCGGGTTTGGCCAGAATTACCCATTCTCAAGTTCGACCCCTTCGAAAACACTTGGCCAGTTTTCAGAATTTCATGCGACCTGCTGTATTGATTGAAGTGCAGACTATATCGGAATTTGGAAATGACCTTCATCAGGTCACTGTTTAATACGTAAAAACAAGAAAATTAATTGGCAAGATTGTATTACTCACAAGTCGATACTCATGCCCTGACGAAACGACAACCAGTTTGCGACAGGTCGATCAAGTGAATATAGTGCGATGTGTTTGTCAAAGCAGAGAGAGGGAGAGAGCGGGTATTGGTATCTTTTCATGGCGGAGAAAGGACAAACAAACGCTAATCCATATCTGACTTCTCTGATTCCCGTTTTTAATTCGACTCCGAAGTCGTAAACATGTCCTTGTCAACCTCAAACCTTATTCGTGATCAGACAATCTGCAATGCATTTGCCTGATGCGAACACTATTGTACCCGTTGAGGAAAAAGCTGTTCCAGCTGTGCATTAGGGAAGTCGGCGCAACGATACTCGCGGACACCGCAGGAGCAAAGACAATCTTCAAGGCCACCTAACCGACACGCATACAATCAACCTTCAGCCGAACCAAATGAAAAGGTTAGAAAAACCAAGTCACAGAGCTAACGTGTGACCTATGGACGAGTCCAACTCCCCAAGAACAGCTGACAAAAGAAGAGCAACATTAGCCGTCAATGTCTGTCTGGCTGTCCCGGTTGCAAATAAAGCACCCATGTAAACAATGATCCAAACTGGTTTACAGTTGAACCAATCAAATTGTTCCAGCCGGGATAATTTTTCCCTATCTGTGGGGGAAAAACACGACAACACCGGGGATAAAATGCGAGGTAATGCGGAAGAAAAACGAAAAACAAACCTTTGAAAAGTATCCCAGAATGCGATGACCTTCGGGATGATATTCCGTGAGCACATAGAACAGGAATGTGGGAACTTGATCGGACTCGTGCACGGTCTTGTGTTTGAGGAACAGTTTGGTCAACAAACACAAGTTTTGACAATAATCCTGAAAGAGGCGAGGACATTGTTAGTGTTCATGCATAGAATGGAATAGATGAGATAAGAGAAAGCGCTTATGTTTATGTGTGATACTCACACACGCACACACAAACACATATATATATATATATATATATATAATTACATTGGTTGCGGTTAGTAGCATCTAACCCGTCTACAAAACATCCAATCAGTGTTGATTATTCAGTGGACTGCTTCTGAAAGAACTGTTTATCCAAAAATAACCCGGTGTTGCAAACAAGGTTATTGTGACGAAAATACACTTCCTGGGTATAAGGATATCGATGATCTGACAAAAGATTACCGGATACGCATGTTTGATGAGCGGCAAGAACCACGAAACTGGTTGTTTGCTTCCGGGGAAATTTTGTCTGGTCATTCCTATACTACTTAGTATGAAATATACACATATATAACCCCCAATCTCAAGACACGACACACACAACCAAATCGATCGATTGACCGAAAGTAGCCCGTAACTGAGAACATTGCTATTCGCTTGATGGGTCTGAATCGATGTGCCCCGAGAACACTTGTTCAGCCCCTTCAACTGCCTTGGCCTTATGTGAAGATCGCGCCACTTCGCCCGAGGGAACAGAGAGAGAGAGAGAGAGGTCACATCGATTGACCAGCTAACCGTTCATCCAAACATGCACCATCTCCTTGAGATCCGTGACCTTCTTTACACGCGGCTAAATTGTAATCAGTACGTAAAGATCTTCAACTATACAGTTGTGAAATATCCTTCCCATTTCTGCATTTCCAACAACTTACAATGTTACTCTACTCGAAAGCATGATCATTAAATTGATTCTCACCTGATTGTTCTCACTACATACGTTCTCTTACACTTTCCAGTTCGGTTGGCATTTGCCAATTTGAGACATTTTTGACGTTGTCGCGGAATCCGGCTATCTGTGAAGGGTCGAGTGTATGCTGCAGCAGTTGGGCCAGTTCTGCTACACAGCGCGGAAACTTGGCTATTAGGAAAGCAGAGTAAAGATAGACTGTCGGTGTTTGAACACCTCTGTCTAGGCAGCATTGCACGAGTCTGGTGGGGCAACCGAACTAGCAATGCAGAGTTCAGGCATGGAATTTTACGCATTCGCGGTCATGCACTGGAGCAAATGGTCGACCTTCGTAGGTTACACTGGTTGGGTCATGTGTTACGCATGTCACCAGATAGGTTGCCACGGCGAGCGATGTTCACCGAGGCAGGTAGGGGTTGGAAAAAGGTTAAGGGCAATCAAACGAGGACCTGGCAAAAGGGCAATAAAACCCTAACCAGGAGACTGAGTCATATAGGTCCCGTTAGGCTTCCTGACTGGGGACCCCGAGATGATGGTCACCACTGGTTAGAGACACTGAGTGATATGGCTGGATGTCGCAAACAGTGGCGCTCATGCATCTACTCATTATTCTTGTGACATCAGTCTATATAAATTCGCTCTCTTCTGCTTGAATTTGCTCTCAATATTCAAACTTTCATTGGGATCTTTTATTCAAATGGGCAACCAAAACCGGTGCACGAAAGTGTATAGTTAATGGTTGTAAGAACTAAACTGAACTGAACCACTGAAGACAATCGGCGGCACTGTCCGAGGACTTGTCTGATTTTTTGGATGCAAAAAACATGAAACCACTCTAAAGGGATCGTAACGTGCGCGAATCTGGTTTGCCACTAAACGAGGCCATCGCCATCCTATTTCCATACGGGTGGCGCTTAGATGTAAAAAATCCAAACGCGGGTCTTCGAATATTAGGGTTGACCGGGACCGAGGGATACCACTTTACGCTGTCCCCCAAATTCGTCATGGATGCATCCAAAACACCGACTTATCATTTCTTAGGAGCAAATCTCTCAGAATGAAGTGTTAATTGTACGACCCACCCACCTAATCCAAATCTGAGAACAAAAATTCATGACTTCTGTCAAACTGGTGGTCGTCGTCGTTTCGATTGATCTCGATGAGGATACTACATTGATATGTGGGAGGTGTATGTGAGGATTGATTTTATCTGGTTCGAAGGAAACGGTGTCCACATAAACTGTCACATTCATGACTGTTTTGCATATTTATACTGTTTCTTCATTTGGATTCAATTATCCTTCTGTGTCCACGAACAGGAGAAAGAAGCCCAAGAACATCTGATCATGTGTGCCAAAATAGCATCACAACAGCTCAGCGAGGCTGCACAGACTGCCGGTGAAACATCCCACCCGCCGGTGGGTGAGCAAACCGGTTGGGCTCTGGAACAACGCATTCGACGAGTTGTGTTCGGTATGTGGGAGATTGAACCGACCTATCACAGTGCCTATCCACCGGATATTGCCTGTCTTCCGGTGATTTATGTCTGCGAATATTGTCTCACACCCATGAGGCATCGAGTCGCTTATGACCGTCACCGGGTGAGTTGCTCCGTCCCCGTTTATCTCATTCCCAACCTGTTTGCACAGCCGTTGCTTTCCCCTAATGGTCACCCCGGTAAAACAATCCAGGTACCTTGATCAGTTGACCCTTAACCCCATACTCCAAAAACACAGGGTACATAATTTAACTTTGAACAGCGTTTCCCTATATCAAATATTTTTATTGAAAATGATCGTGTGCTGGTTAACAATGAGCACTGGACAGCTGTTTCCTTGTTTAGACTCGTTCATGGTATGCACACCTGGGTTTGTCCCGACTGGCTGTAGTCGTGAGGTTTCACTTTCCAACCGGAGGGTTCTCGGTTCGAATCCCGACTGTAGCAAAATACTTAATAAGCACTGTCAAAAGGTCCCACAAAGCTATCCGGTGCATTTTCTCGGTTCAGCCAATGATTTTCATCTCAAGTAAACTGCATTTGTCACCTGTAGGTAGTCAATAAACTCCCGAAGGAGTGAAATACACGCTACAAAGATCATATGCAACTTAGTGTGCTCACGAAAATCGAACAAGGTAATGTGAGCATAACACAAATCATATAGTTTTAGTGTGCGCATTGTTTCTTATTCGAATGGGCATCATTCACTGCCAAAACTCGGTTCTTCAGGAAGTGCTCTCGATATATTTTTTAATTGCACCGGATGTAAATCACGTTTGGAAAAGGGCATCACAGGCGTTTATGTATAAACCGGAACCAATCAGATTGTCTCTGTCCGGTTTGCAAAACAAAAGTCTTATCCGGATTAATCATAAAAACACAATTGATGCAGTAAGATAAACGATCAATTCATCACAACACTTTACAACACATCCCTCTTTTGAAAGCTTTTCATTATAATCATGATTGTTATATCCGTGCGCTTCGTTTTCGGGATGAGGATTGCGCTATCATGTCCGTCGTTGGTATTTCTCGCTGCTGTTCTTGTACATTGATTTCAGCATCCTCCTGCGCATTATTTGAATCTTCTCTTTCTTCGTCTTCGTCGCCATTCTCCCATTTTCCTCAAATGAACTCTACCTCTCCGTATTACCCGTTGGCCGCAGCGTAACAACTGCGATGTTTTCGTTCCTCGCAATGTCACTTCTCCCCCTCACCCACTTCTTCTCCGTTGGTTCCAACGTTTGTACCAAAACCGTGTCTCCTGATCTGAGCAAGCGCAGTGGTCCACTGCCGCAGTCATAGTACCTCCTCTGTAGCACCATGCGTTTCTTCATCCTTGACTGTATGACTATTGATGGCGTAGTCTGTGGCAGCAGTAGCTCGTTGCAACTGGGTACAACCCTGCGTGTGCGTCTGCCAAATAAACTTTGGCTCGGGCTGGTTCCCATTTTAGCCGATGGTATGTTCTGTTACTCGAGCAGAGCCACTAGTGGCTCGCTATCATCCGCGCTGCATTTCTTAATAAGCTTCTTTACCTGTTTGACCGCGCTTTCTGCTTTGCCATTGGAGTGACTGTGATAGGGGGTTAGTAACATCGTGCTCAAAGTGTCATCTTTCACCGAATTGCTGGAATTCGGTACTACGAAATCGGGGTCCACTGTCGGAAATCATCTGAAGTGGTATTCCATGTCGTGCAACATAAACGCGTAGTTTATCAAGGATCTCCACCGGTGCGCCAAATCACAGTCAATCGACTTCCAGAAAGTCACTGTAGTAATCAACAATTATCAAGTAGTTGTCTTTCCCGTGATAAAAATATCCAGCGCTACCGCCTGCCATGGTCTATCTGGTATTCCACGCATATTCATCAGTTCCTTCGTTTGTCGTTGATCAAACTACCTGCAAAATTCACATTCATGAAGCAACTGTTTTATCTGTTCTGACATACCCGACCTGGTGTGACTGAGGCATCCGTTGATACCGGCGTGAGAGCAGTGTATCAAACGCATTACGTTTTGTAGAATCGCCTTCGACACTACCAGCCTTTCAGTTAATCGTGAACGGTTAGTTCATCTCAGAATTCGAATTAGGGCAATACACCCATCAGAAGGGTTTTTTTCTTTTCTGGCCAACCGCGAGTGATAACTCTTTTGAGTTCTTGCATGCTTGGCTCGTCAGTAGTAGCCTTTCGTATGTGAGACGTCGCGAACTGCATCACCACCAATGCAATGTTCACGGATTCCAATTTTTGTTCCCGTTCTGTGTCGGGCTGTACGACTCGTGATAAAGTGTTCGCCACAAACAAGCGTTTACCTTATTCATAATACGGCTCATAATTGTATTTCTGTTGACGTGCTCGATGGAGTGGTTTATCCACAATCATAATCAGTGATTTGCGATGCCAGTATACGTGCCTGAGTCGATCGAATTTGTAATCATTGAACTTTTCCACCGCATGCACAATTGCCAGCGTTTCTCAACCTGGGCATATCTTGGTTTACAGGCCTTTAATGTCCTACTCCGGTAATCCAATGGACGTCCATTTTGAAAGAGCACGGCACGTAAGCCAAATCGGCTGCTGTCACATTGTCTGCACAGAGGTGCATTGGGATCAAAATAAGCCAGCACTGGGGTTTTCTTAATATGTTGCTTGACGCGATCAGAAGCCGCCTGTTTTTCTAGTGACCAAAGCCACGGTTCTCCTTCATGCATCAAACGTCGAATCGGCCGTATCAATTCCGCTAGTTCGGGTAGAAATCTGCTGAGATAGTTTATCATTCCGTTGAATCGTGATACGCCCTTTGCATCGGTTGGGAAGGCATTTCTTCAATTGCATTTACCTTTTCCGAACCCGGTTTGATCTCTTCGCTTGTATGTGAGAACGAAAGCGGACTTTCGATTGACAAAAGATTGGCTTGTCTCGTTTCAGCTTAATTCCGTCTCGCATACAACGTTGTAAAAACTTTCAAACCGTCTGTTGTCTTCATTTGCATCTTTACCAAAAATTAGAATGTCGTCCGCCACGCACAATACACCGGGAAAATCATCTCACACTTGGAGGATTCGTTTATGAGAAAGTTCACTTGATACTTTCAAACCGAACGGTAATCTTTTCCAAAGATATCGCTCGAGTGGCGTGCCAAAAGTGGTCAGATAGCTTAATCTATCGTCCTGTTCAAAGTGCCAAAACGTAGAGACTAAATCTATCTTCATGAAGCATCGTGCATTAGCTGATTCCGGTAGTATATCGTCAAAAGTAGCTGGGGTAGTGCTCCCGTCTTAACGGCTTCGGATTGATACGAATTCTCAGCTCCCCAACCTTTTCTGTCACCACCAAAACCTGACTTACCTAGTGCGTTGGTTCCTAAACTTTCTCCGAAAGGCCTACACAATAAGGCCTTTCCATTCACGGGAAAATTTATGTTGAACTGCAAGTGGGATGAGCCGCTTTGGTAAAACAACGGGCTCGGCTGCGTCGTTTATATTAATTGTCAAAGTTCCTGACAACTTTCACCGTTTTCCATCGAAAACAGAGGCATACTTTTTCAGGTAGTATTCAGTATTTTTACATACGTGATGAACAAATGACTCATAATTAAACGATACCAAACCAAGTCGCTCGATGAACTCGTATCCAAGAATTGGAACATAACGCAGCTCCACCAAGAGAAAACTAACAATACAACAGACTCCGTATTTTGGATTCTTCAGCGTGTTGGTGGTTCCCCTTTTCGGCTCCACGTTTGAAGCGTTCCACATAACTAATCTCTTCTGGGTAGGTTCCAATTTGATATCGGATACGCAATTTCTCGGTATTGCGTCGACGGACGCACCAGAATCTAGGCGGAATGTTACTTCTTCATTCACCAGCATCTTGGCAAATACGCCTTTCCGCTCGGCCGCTATTTTTACACCATTCACGCGATCAGCTGCTTGAACGTGAAATTCTGAAGTTGATTCTTTTCTCATGAAACACTTTGCTGCAAAACGGTTACGCTTTTTACAGTTATCGCACTCCCCACCACCACCATACGGAGCAGTTGCTTCTTCCTATCGGATACATGCGGCAACAGAAACGACTATCAGCAGTTGGTTGTGTTTGATTTTCAGCGGCGATTTTGCATAATTCATACACCTCTGTTGTGGTAAGCGTCTCCATATGCATCTCTGCTGCCTCCTCACTCCGACATGTGTCAATGCATTGTTTCAATGTCAGCTTTGGAAGTTTTAGGAGGTGCTTCACCACAACAGAATCCCGTGAACCAACGACAGTTCTGCCCTAATTAGACTTTCTTATAGACATGCACAGAAATTGCACTAACGGACCAGTGATTTTAGGTATAGGACGAATGCATTAAGGGACTCACCATGCTGCTGCCTTCTCTGATTAAAAATAAATCGTTCATAAGTCTCGTTAGATTCGCCAAGGCAATACCACTCCATCTTCGCTATCACCACCTGCCAATCTGCACGATCCTCATCCGGACTGTACGTGAATCGATTTGTGATGGGCAGAGCAATGGGACCAATGGTGTGACTGATCAAAGCCAATTGTACGGAACTGGATTCGCGGTCCATCTCTGTCCGCATGCTGTGTTCGCCACAGTCTCCATTTCTTCAGGAAGTGCTCTTGATATATATTTTTGAGTTCACCGGACACAAATCACAATTGGGAAGAGGATCACAGGCGTTCTGCAAACTGGACAGAGACCGACTGATTGGCTCGAGCTTATACAAGAGCACCTACGATTCCTACTGAGATTTATGAACGATTTATTTTCAGTCAGATTCGGTACATTTAACGTTCGGCACTTTGAGAAGTTCAGGTTCAGTTTTTACAACCACTAACCATGCACTTTCGTGCGCCGGTTTAGGTTGCTGTCCTTTGGTTGCCCATTTGGATAAAAGAGCAAAATGAAGATTGGAATGTCAAAGCAAATTCAAGCGGGAGATGGGGAATGCATATAGAGTGGTGTTAGGAAAATAACGAGTGGATGCACGAGTGCCACTGTTTGCGACATCCAGCCATATCACTTAGTGTTTCTAACCATCGATGACCATCATCTCGGGG